CCCGGCGGGGAGCCGCCCACTCTCGGAGGCCCGCGCGGTGCCCGGGCTGGCTTTGAACCGCGATCCCCAGATCTCAGCCTCCTGCGCAGCCGGGATCGATGGAGCCGCTAGCGCCTGTCACGTCCCCGTATGGTTGAGCCCTCTCCAAAAGCGCAGTCCGCGGGACGGCTGCCACAGCCGGCCATGAGGCCCGCGTGCTCAGCTGGGCGTTTTGGGTGGAGGCGCCAGCATTCTCATAATCAACCTTTAACGTAGATGAAGCTATAAGCCGAGAATATAGGGTTTCTTGGTTTTGTCTGATGTGATCTTCTGGCCTCCAGGTTCTCCAGGGGCATGGGAGAGCCAGCACCCTGGTCGCATTAATGAGAGTTTATCAAGAGGAGGAGGAAGCGTACCAGGAACTAGTTACCGCAGCAACCGTGTTCTTCCAGCATCTACTGCAGCCCTTTAGGGACATGCGGGAAGTTGCGACTTTATGTAGGCTCAATATTCTGGTATGTGTTGTTATTTTTTAAAACTCTATAACCTATTATACACAACTGTTATCTATTATATACAACTATTACCCATTATATATTACCGTATGATACTTCTTTATATTTAAGATTCAGTTTGTATGTTCATTTTGTTTAGGTTCATTTTTCTGCTGTAAAGATACTGAGTTTTATTTGAAATTGATTTTAAAAATTGGGGTTTGGGTTGTACCTCAGTGGTAGAGCACAGGTTTGATCCTCACCACCAAGAAGAAAAAACACAAAACTGAGGATCTCCAGTTCTAGGCCAGCCCAGGTTACAAAGCAAGTTATATGTGATATTCTGTGTCTTAAATAAAAAAATGAAAGCTCCACCTGGGGTCAAAGCAAAATGTGGCCGTCCGGGAAGAGCTGCTCTGTGCCACAGCGGGAAAGGGGCTGTGCGTTTCCTGACCCCCACTGTGGAAGGGATTGCTGAAGGAGTGAACCATAAGGCACGGCAGTGAAAGTAGTTAAAATGGTCACAGGACCTGCCCACTTCCCCTTACCTCTTCTTTCCGTAGAAGTCCCTGGATGAGGATGACCTCGGCCCCAAAAGGGTCATGGCTCTGCAGAAGGAAGCGGAAGAATGGACCAGACGGGCTCAAGAAGCTGTCGCCTCGATTCAAGACATCACCGTGGATTACTTTAAGGAAACAGTGAAGGCATTAGCAGGTGATAGTAAGAAAATGCTGGCTGACATAATTTTTACTGCATTTGGATAAAATGCTGGCGTGGGAATGGCATGTAAGGATAAGTCCATGTTGACCCTGAGGTGTGATCTCAAGGGCTCCCACTTTTTATGTTTTGGGCTGGTTAATAGAGGATAAGAGTCTCATGGACTTCCCTGCCGTGGCTGGCTTCAAACCTCCAACCTCTGATCTCAGCCTTTTGAGTAGCTAGGATTACAGGTGTGAGCGCTACATCCAGCTAAATACTGCTTTTGTATTATTATTATTAAAACAAAAATTGTAGCTGGGTGCTGGTGGTTCACACTTACAATCCTAGCTACTCAGAAGGCTGAGATCAGAGGATACTCATCTCCAATAAGCTGCTCAGAAAAAGCCAGAAGTGGCACTGTAGCTCAAGTGGTAGACTGCTGGCCTTGAGCAAAAGAAGTTCAGGGACAGCACCCAGGCCTTGAGTTCAAGACCCAGGACTTTTCTTTTAAAAAATGTTCAGGGGATAATAATGGGAGATAGTGAAATATTAACTCAGGATAAACTATGCCCCTTAAAGAGTTTTAACTTTTTTTTTTTTTTTAACAGAAATGCAGAGACAAATGGAACAAGATGGGAAGAGATTTGGCCCTGCAGCCTGGGCCACGGCCACTCCCCGCTTGGAGAGACTTAAGCGCCTGTTAGCTCGGGAGACTTTGCAACTGCTGAGAGCCAGAGAGTTGTGTTTAAATCACAAAAAAGCTGAGATAAAGAGAAAGGTAAGATAAAAGTCAATTTGTTTAAAAAGGAATCTTTATTTTAGGTTGCATCTTGGTTGAGGAGCTTCCTTCTTACTGAGTTTCACACCTTTCACAGTAGACAGGACTGGACACTGGAAAGTTAAACTTTCCCTTTCATGAAGATGTGTTCCTGAAATATTATATTGCACAATTCACTTTTATTTAAATATTGAGCGTAGCATTGAAGTGCATAAAGTACGTTCAAAATCAGTTCAGCAATAATACTTTTTTTGGTGGAGCTCAGGTCTGACACTGAGCACTTCTCTGCTGCTGGAGGACCATAGCCACTGAACTTTGTCCTGTAATCTTAGGACTTTAAAGCAGAAACTGTAGACACGGCATTGTCAGTCTGGGCTACTGCAGGGAATACCACAGCTTGGGGCTGCAGCTGACCTGTTGTTTCCGACAGCTCAGAGGACCCTGGGCCTTCAGAATCCATGTCTAGGGCAGTGTCTTCCTGGCTGGGGGGCGGGGCCTTCCTACGTGGGCTCCCTGGGCACCCTGTGTGTGCAGTGCATCGGAGGCCCAGTGTGGCCTCATCTGACGCCTCACCGCCATTTCCTCAGAACCCAAATGCTTTCAGGTTTCAAGAGTGAGGTATTCATAATGAACATGGAGTAAAACATTTTTCTCATTGAAAAGCATATTAAATAGGTTTCATTAGGTATTTGATGAAGAGAACACCATGCACTATTCAGGCAGGAGAAGAAGTTTATTTACCGAACTGCTGCCCCCGCCATGCGTGGTGGAGAGGCAGGGCTGAAAAAGGAACAAGGGGAGGGTTTCCCACCCTGGGAACCGGACTTATCTAGCCAGCCCTAGAACAGGACTTATCTAGGCCTGGGACAGGAAGAGGTGTGGCCAGGTGGGGGAAAGGTGTGGCCACACTGGATCCGGATGTGACCTCAGGGTCTGGGACCTTCCTGAGGTCAGATGGGAGGCATGTGACCTAGCTAGAGGGGAAGGTGACTGCTTCCAGGTCTGCCAGGTAACAGATACTGGGTGGAAACTTAGCCAAGAGGTAAGGAGGTGTCCCTGTGCAGAACTTACACTAGTGAAAAAGTACTTGTTAATATTTATTACTGAGGAATAGGAAGAAGCTAGTGTGCTTTTAAAGCTTACATTTAGCATGCTAATTAATTTATTTTTCCCTGAAAAAAAAACAAGATGGAAGACCTTCCGGAACAAGAAAAAAATGTAGATGCTGTAGATGAGCTAGAAATGCAGTATTATGAAATTCAGTTGGAACTATATGAAATCAAATTTGAGATTTTAAAAAATGAAGAAATACTTCTTATTATACAGCTGGATTCTATTAAAAGACTTATAAAAGGTAAAATTTATGTTGTAAAAAGAAAATGTTTAAGTTACATATTTTAGAGAATACTACAAACTTAATTACTAATTATAAATTATCTGTAACATCTATTGAAGTGTGTTAGTTTCCCTTCAGTATTTTGTTTTCCCTATTGTGGGGCTTTGAACTCGGCCTGAGCGCAGTCCCTGAGTTCTTTTGCTCAAGGCTAGTGCTCTACCACTTTGAGCCACACCTCCACTTCCACTTTTTTGTGATTACTTGGAGATAAGAGTCCCAAGGACTAACTCCTAACTAACTCCTCAGATCCTAGCCTCCCAAGTACTAGGATGACAGGTGGGAGCCACCAGTGCCCAGCCAGCCCACCAGTGCTTTGGCCCTTTTTTGAATTGGTCATTTGCAGGTGGGTCTTGCTTTATACCCATACCAGCCTGGGCTGCAATCCTCCTACCTGAGCTTCCCAGGTCCCTGGAGCAGCACCACACCCAGCCCTGGGCACTGCACGCTGTTGCCCCGCACCTACTAACTGGGTGTGGTTGGGGTGGAATCTCCTCCCCCCCCCCCTCCCCTGGCCTTGAACTATAATCTTCATTCTCTGCCTCCCAAGTAGCTAGGATCACAGGCTTGAGCTACTGGGCCTAGCCATTCAGTATTGTTATTTATTCATTTTTGGTCAGTTGTGGGGCCTGAACTCTGGGCCTGAGCGCTGTCCCTCAGCTCTTCAGCTCAAGGCTAGCGCTCTACCACTTGAGCCACTGTGCCAATTCCGGCTATTTCTGCTTATGTGGTGCTGAGGAATGGAACCCAGGGCCTCATGCATGCAAGGCAAGTGCTCTACCACTGAGCTGCCTTCCCAGCCCCCCCTTTCAGTAGTTTTATTATTCAAATATATTCATTGTTCAACATGCAGCAAAACGGAAAAGGAAAACTCCAAGCCCATCATTTAGAGATACTTAGGAACAATTTGGTGTTGATTTTGTAGCTTTTTTGATATAGTTAATGTAAATGTGACTGTCAGTTTTTAAAACCAAAACCTTTGTGTGGTAACAATATTTTACTTATACTATAATAAACATCTTCCATTTCAGTAATAAAAAATCAAAAATTTTAATGGCTGCATAGTATTCAAATTTATAGGTATACTTTGACTTCTAGCTTAAAAAATGTCTTGAGCAGAGAATTTCCCTTCATACATGTTTTGTGTATAGGATAGTTTCCTTGAAATTAATTTCTAAAGTGGAATTATTGGATTAAGAACGTCTTTTATGTTTTAATGCACATTAAAACACCAGTACTAAAGTTATTTGGGATGCACTTTTCTTACATCTGTATTACTTTCTAATTCTAAATGTCATGCTTCTGGTACCAGTGCAAACAAATGCTTCACTCACTCCTGGCTGTTTGTCAATTGATAGAAAAAAATGCCACCTTCTGATTTTCACAAGTGATACTAACCACAGTTTTTTGGGGTTTTTTTTGGTCTGGTCCTGGGGCCTGAACTCTGGGCCTGGGCGCTGTCCCTCAGCTCTTCAGCTCAAGGCTAGCGCTCTACCACTTGAGCCACAGTGCCCCTTCTGGCTTTTTTTTTCTTGTTTATGTGGTGCTGAGGAATCGAACCCAGGGCCTCACTCAGCATGCAAGGCAAGCGCTCTACCACTGAGCCACCTTCCCAGCCCCAGCTCTTCCCTTTTAAAGGAAAGAAAGCACCTTAATATGGTGGCATTCGGCTGAGTTTCTAATCATAGTTTCTCATTAGAATAACATCATTTCCCCAAACTTGCCTGCTCCTTTAGAGGCTGTCTTGGAGCTCAGAGGGCCTGGATTTCTGCAGGAAGACTGGAAGCTTGACCAGGGGGCTCCCCTTTCTGGTGGGGCCTCTTCTCCCCCCGGGGTTCTGCCAGAGGGGCCCAAAGCTGGACGGTAACTGGAGCTGCCTCCCGCTGCAAATAGCAGCAGGCCTGCCATGGGTGCAGTCCAAATATAGCGCGGCCGGCTGCCCTGCCCTTCTCCTGTGTCACTGGAGAGGCCGCTTCCCCAGGCCGGTGGGGGGGGGGGCCGGGCACCAGGCCGGGCGCCAGGCCGGGCGCCACGCCGGGCCCTTCGGCTTCCCAGCCTCCTGACCTTCGGTCTCTTTCTGGGGGTTGGTGTCTGGGTGGGAGCTCCCAGCCCTGGCTCCCTCCGGCCCCGCTCTGCGGGCCGTGCTGGACAGACCAGGGAAGGGCGGGCGGAGCGGGGCAGAGGCAGAGCAGACGAGGTCGCGCGTAACACGCTGCGGGGATCGGGGTCCCGCTCCTGCGCCCCACGGCCCCTCCCGTACAGCAAGGCCTTGCTGAAGGCGCGAAGATGCGCGCGCAGCCTTGACCCTTGACCCGGCGCCGCGCAGCGGACCGAGCGCAGGCCGCTCGGGAGGCGCCCGGCCCCCGACCTCTGACCCTCTTCGCCCGCGTCAGCCCCCGCCGCGGTGGGAAGGGGGAGGCGGGAGCGGCCTTTCCCGGCCCGGGAGGGAGGCCGTCTTCTCGACTTTCTTATTGGCGGGTGCGGACCCACCCTCCGGCGAGACAGCCAATCGCGTGCGCCAGCCCGAGGACGGCCAATCAGGGGCAGGGGCGGGCGGCCGTCGCGGG